ACCTGGATCTTCCGAGTATAGCGCTCTGCGCCTTTACCAATTAGACCACCGAAACACACACGACGTCATCAGATTCAAATTCAGATTTAATGTATATCTAAGTGCGTTTTTTAATTTTATATTTTTTATGGATAATAAAATATATTATTAGTAGGATTTTAATTTTATTTATTAGCAAATATGTTTATGTTTGAATTATTTGAAAATTTGGAAACAAATCTCAAAAATCTCCAAAGTTGAAAACAAACACCTGGAGATTTGAAAAAAAGGCTTTCGTAACTGGGACTTTCACCCGGACATCCTTGTATACTAGATAAGTGCCCTTCCCTTCACGACATTTACTGTCTAGATTACTAGACAAAAATTTGATATGCTAGTTCGGACCAGACGTTCCTAAATCTCCTATACAGCATCGGTAAATATGAGAAATGAATTTATGCATACTAAGACCATATCTTCATTTGCGTGATTAAGTTGTTTTTGCATTTTTCAAACCTTTAATATAATAGCTTCAAATACTTTTTAATACGTAGTTGAATCCCTTAAAAAGTTCTAATTGCTTTTCAATGAGTACTTGAAATCCAGGGTTTTAAATACTTTTCCATATACACAGAATAACCCATTTGAATGGAGCCACTCTCGTAAATTTTTTATTTATGGGACGATTTTGACGATTTTTTTTTTAAAATGTGGAGTGGAAAAGGTGTATTTTGGAGCCAAGCTGCGTCCAGTTTTTTTCTAAAAACCAAAGCCTACTTGTTAATTTTTGTTATCACATGGGTTACTAGATAAAAGCTTCTTAATGCATAATAAACAACTTGTCAGTAATTTAGTCATTTAATGTTCAATCTTTTTTCATGAAATTTGATAAAGATATATTTCAGAGAACGCTGATTCCAGTTTCCCCCTCCACATTTCAAAAATAAATTCGTCTTAATCGCTCTATAAATAAAAAATTTATGAGGGTGGTCCGCTTTCAAATGGGTCACTCTGTATATTATGGTGCTTGGTGATTTATTATTGGAATAGATACCGTGCTTGGTAATAAAAGCACTTAAAAATTAAAGTGATAGTAATTGATATTTTAAAGCCCTTTACGAGAGTGCTTGGTGCTTGTTAATAAAGCACTGTACAAAAGGGCTTTGCCCAGCTCTGATTGAAGGTTATATCTTCTTTATATCCGTTCGACTCTGGGGCGACATATTTTTAATTTAGCGAAAATACATGTTTTAGTATTGATTTAACACTTTTATTTTGAAACTTTTTTGGACCTTAGTATATGTTCGATTGTTTTTTTAATTCTGTCAACATTTTTAATATGTAGTCACAAATCGGTGGCTTCGAATCCTATGAAAGACCATGTGAATTTATTAGCATGATTCTCCATAGGATTTGATGGATGCCGTATTAGCAGAAATTTAATTTCTGTTGATAAATCGATATGCGTTACCGTTTTGATGATGGTGGGTGGGCTTTTCCGAGTTTTCCTCACCTGTACGTCAAATGGCAACATCAATCATCTTTTTAAGTCGCCCCGACTCAGTGAGCTTCAGGCGTTGAAATTCACTCGGGAAATTAAGGAGATTATTATATTATTATTAAAAAATAGATTCTTTAGATAGGTAATGATTTTTACTAAAAAAAGAGGATTTTAATTTAAAAAAATTAAATTATCTGGATTTAAAAATATTCCTTTTATAAATGTTTAAAATTATGTGTACTTGCTATAACATGTTATCAGATATTATCGAATATTTTGGAAATAAATGAATTAACTTTAAATTTTTATAAATGTCACCAAGTACACAGTTGATAAAATCCCAAATTCTAGAGTCAAGAAGTTTAAGGTTTGGGACTTTGAATAGCCAAGAAAAAGGTTTATCGGAGCCACTTCTAGTTCAATATGCAAGGTACTGACCAAGGGCGGTTTCTCCATTGGTTCATTTGTGCAGTGAACACCCAGTTAAATTTCATAAAAACACATTATTTTAAAATTACATAAATAACATAAAAATATAAATTTAATTTTAATATTTTTATTTTCATACGTGTTAATCTATATTTTTTGGTACATCATTGTCCTCTGGCTGATCGCGTCTCTCTGGCACAGTATAGCTAAGTATACTGTGTCTGTTGCGCATTATGATGAGTGAGCCTTACACGAGTTAGACGATTTAGCAAATGCATATAGCTAAAAAGAGAAGACAACACGCCAACATATCCTTCAAACTACAAACTAACACATTAATTGGCGCGCCACTTACAAACAAGGTTGCCAAACCAGTGTTGCCAGTCTAGTACAATTCACAATTGTACTAGATGTAGTACACTCTGCGTGCATCAGTGTTCATGTGTAAAATATATATTGTATTCCTTGTTTGGGTTCGTTATTAATAAAGACCCCCTTTGTTCTCCTTCAATGAATAAGATGTCACTGTAAATAGAATTCGAAAAATCTGATACATTTAAGGAATCTGGTACATTTTTAGACAAATCTGGTACATAAAAAAAAACATATTCTGGCAACACTGTACCAAATCAAACAAACTGTCATTCAGTCTTCCGTCATTCCTCTATTATGAAACGCTTTTAATAAAAATAAGATTATTTTTTTGTGCTCAATTTAAAAAATGTGTTTAATTAAGTACCGAGAGCAAGAATACTTTGGAATGTGCTGTGAAATATACTTAGAAAGGGTCATATGGAGAATTAAGTGTGATAACATTTTACGATGTGTATCTCACTATTTTAGTTCACAGATTTCTGTAAATGTTCAATTATATGCTGCTATTTCAAAAAAAATTAATATATTGGGGAGTTAAGGGGGGTTAAAATATTAAAAAAAAAAATCCTAACTGAAATACTTGAATTGTTTGAACTTTTGAATTTTAGCTCTAAAAAGAGAAGAAGCCCTTTAATAATAAAAAAACCTAATTAGATAGGGGGGATTTAAGAGGGGTTGAAATTAAAAAAAAATCAAAAATGAAAAGCAATATTAACATGAATTTTTAGTAACAATCAAGCCCTATAAGGAGATCTGGTTGTTGAAAATGGCGGTTAAGGGGGTCTTTTAAACTACGAAGAGTATCATTTAAAATGCCAGGCATTACATATCTTTATTTTAGTTTGTATCTGTGTAGTATTATGTATTGTGATGGGACTCATCTTATAAAATAAACATTTAAAACATTTTAGTTCTTAAATTATTTGCCAATAAAAGGTATTTAAAAAATATATTTTTTATTTGTCATATGTGACAAATAGTGAAAATGATTAAACTTACAATAAAAACTGAAAAATGGTAGGTAGAGTTTCATATATTTTTTACACAAAAATCAATGTCAAGCTTTTTACATAACCTGATATATATTTAAAAATAATCTCAAATTATGAAAAAAGTCAGTTTACTAACTAATAATGTTTATAGATGGTTTTCAACCTATTAAAAACAAAAAAAATATTACATTAACTAAAATATTCATTTATTAACAGTTGTAGTGCTTGAAAACAGTATGATGTTGATAATAATAACTACACTTAATACAAACTCAAATGATAAAAAAACAGCAGAAATATTGGCTCTTGTACAAAGTACAAAGTACCGAACTAACAAATAATAAAATTATTGGAAACACCCATTTTAAATTACTACGAGCCGTCACTGGTACTGATAAAGAAAGATACTTTATTGGTTACTGTAGTCTAGTAGAAACCATAGATTTGGTTGAATTGCATGATTTAAGTTTTCTATGTAGTTTGGAAACAAATTTTATAAGAAATACAGCCTAAATATTTTAATTTCCAAAAATACAAACCATTTAAATATTTATTTATAACCTATTCTTGAAGTATACAAAAATTTGGGAGTCTAGGTAATCACAAACCCCCATTAAATTTGTATGGGATGTACTGTTTTTAACTCCATATTATTTGGCAACATCTATTTTTCTATTACATAATGAGCATGTTTAATTTTTAATAAACTTAATAAATAATTTATCCCCAAACTGCAAGGTAAAAAAAAATAATAAAAAAATGATAAAATATGGCAGAAATAGAACTGCAGGTTTAATTTCTGTTTTTTATGCTTGATAAGGATATTTTATCATAATTAAGGGGGTTATGATTGACAACTTGTGTTATTTTTAACAGGTCTGTTATTTTATAAACACACCGAAATAACAAACCTATTCTCAAATAACGTGTCTGTTAAAAATAACATTACTTGTGTCATAACCCCGTAATAGTGATAAAAGACTAAATTGTGGTTTTTTATTTCCTTGTAATTAATTCCAAAATATAAAAATATATACATATATTTATTATATTTTTCCTTATTATTAAAAAGTCAATTTTACAATTATTGTTTCTACTGATATGTAGAATTGTCTACAAATAAATTTATCTGTATTAAAACTAAATAAAATACTCCCTATTTTTTAAAACTATCCGAAAATTTAGAATTTGTGTTATAATTTTGGGTTTCAAAATTACAATTTTTTAATATCCATAAATGTTTGCAAGGAAATTCTTCAAATCATCAAAACTCTTCACAAAATGAGGTGATGCCTTAGCTTTAAGTAAGACTAGAAAGAAGAGCAATGAAGAATAGAAGAAAAAAACATTATACTATTAAAGAAAATTAAATATTCGAAAACAATAGAATAATAATTAAAAATGTATGTTATAACAGGTGTTTGCAGTTACAAATGATACAACAAAATTAGAAAATATCTATATTTTTTGGATGAATTTGCTAGTGTTACCACTAGTAACACTAAACCACAATCTAGAAAAACACGTAGAAAATGTAAACGAAACGAAAAAGTAAATATTTTTTAAGTTCTCTATATAATTATTATTTATTCTGTTATTATTTTAATGGGAAAAAAGTAATTAAAACCTAAGTAATAAATAAAAATCGAAGTCCAAAAAACCATATTATTAGTCTGTGTAAAATATCTCTAAAAACTACCAGCCTATATCGATGATCAATCCACTGGTCAATTCACGAGATCCCCGATCGAGATTGCACAGCTTTAGATCACTATGTAAATGATTTAGTGTCTTCAGGAAAAGGAATAAAACTCGCGCCGATCTTGCACCAGTATAGCGGCGTGGGAGGAAACTAGAGTAAAAGTATTGCTGCACTCTGAAATATACACAATGGGATTACTAAATAACTTCTACCATATATAAACCAAAATTATTTGGCTGATGGTAGTTATTTGGGTTGTGAACTAGCCAAGAAGGTGTTTTTATTTTTTTCTTGTTATTTTTCGCAAGTGCGTGATTTTTGTTAACTTAGTGTACCTGAAATAATTGGGATTACGATAATCATGTTATCTGATGTAAGTTAATCGAATAAAAAAGGGCGATAAAAAAGATATTAAGGTGTATAAATAGCGATTTCGTTTGAAATAATATTTTTGAAATTAGTGCATCTATTAGCATTTTCGGAACTTTTATTGTTGAAGATTAGTTAAAAAAAGATTAGTCCAAAAAATAATACTGTTTTTAATTACACTTTATTAAAGTACATCTTCTCATATTTCTATTAAAAATTAAAAAATTATTAATTATGGTATTATACAATGTGCCTACTGAAGTTTGTTATTGACAAAAATGCATTGTTTTAAAACAATGGTCTGAATTTCTAAAATATAACCATCAAATATCCAAATCAGTCAGTACAGGGGATTTCTCATAGAATATAAATTTTGCATAATATTCTTGAAAATATTAGAGTGAGAAAGTTTTAAATATGTAATCATATGGATCTGTCCAAATAAATTAATAATAAATATTTTATTTACCACACGTTTTTATCTCTCTAGGCAATATTTTTAGAGTTACTACTTTGTATATCTTTGTTTTATATGGTAAATAATAAATTATTATTATAAATAACAAAATTAGATTAGGCTAGACGGATATAACAACACATTTAAATGCAGTTTTTATTCCTAAATATATTTTTTGATTGTCAATTTTCCATAATTTCAAAAATAATGGTGCTTTATTAATTTGGTAAAAATATATATCTTCTGACAAACCCAATATATATGACTGATATATTTTGATATCTGATGATTCCATTTTAGGTATTTGAAGATGCAGAAAAATATTTTTAAAATAATATTTATAATGAAACAAATGTAATAATATGTAGACACAATGTATGTATTAAGAATAATCACAGTCAATATACCGTGTGGTCCATATGTATGAAATACATTTATTTTTGGCGTTGTTATGTAGTTTTGTGGAAAAGCCTAAAACAGGTCGGTTTTTATTCTTAATTTGACAATATTATAGTATAAAAATATTACTCCTCCCTTGAACTATGGGCACCCTGTCGAAAATTTTAAATAAGACAGGGAGTCAAGTGACACTTTGTTTAAAGGTATTTTAATTATCTCTTCAGCAATATAAACTTTTTTAAATTTAATGCAATAATAAATTAAAAAATTAATTTTGAAAATATAAAATTTTCATAATATCTCCATCGCAAAACTTTACGTAGAATGAAGCAAAGAATTAATTGTAAAATAAAATGAGAAAAACACTCTAAATACCATTTAACATTCTTTGCTTTATTCTATGTAATATTTTGTAATGGAGACATTAGATATTATTATAATTTTACGGTTTCAAAATTAATTTTCTTAGTTGTGATTGCTTCAAATTTAAAAAGATTTATATTGTTGAAGAAAAAAATTAAAATTCCTTTCAAACAGGTTGTCACACGATCCCCTTCTCTTTATAATTTTCAAAGAGGTGCAAGAGAGGAGTAATATTTTTATAGTCTAAATTGTCAAATTAGGAAAGAAATCGACCTGATTTTTATTGTTTTACAAAATTACACAATAACGGTAAAAATAAATATATTCCACACACATAAACCGCATCTAAATTCAGTAATACGAGTACTTCGTTAACAAAAGAAAGTTTTTATACTAGGCAAAATAAGTGTTTGGTTTTTTCAGTTACTTACTTACCCCAAAAAATATTCTGATTCATTAAAATCATTTTTCTAAAATAATAAAACATTCTTTATTTATTTTACAACTTATTTATAATATTTGACTACCTTTATCTAAATATTCCTACATTGTAGACATTTATGGAAAACCTAATAATTATTGTAAATGATATTATTATATTCGAATTTTTATTTTTTAATTCAAAATGTATTAGGAATTTGTTTAAATTTTAATTTTCAAAATCATTAATTTCAGTTAAAATTTTAATCAATTTTATTTTTTTTAAAGATCTAAAATTTGTCCTTCATCAAATCTTTTTTGAATAAGACTTATTTTTTATTTATTTATACTCATTTAAAACACAAAATTTGTTATTACATTAAAAGGGTGCTTACTGCCCATGAATTTATTGGTAACAATCACTCAAAAGTTGTTGATTCTTAAATGTTTCTTGGCACTATAAAACTTAATAATAGATTAATCTCCGATGTTTCTATCTACTAATTTTAAAAAGTTAGCTTATCAAAGTAATAATATAAAAAATACATTTTCATTTTCATTGACAAAAGACCAATATTAAAATTAAATTGTAACATAATTCAGTTACCTGAATTTACTACTACATGCACAGTAGTAGTCAATTAATAATTAATAAACACATTCAATCTGATTTCATTGATATAATTAGAATTAATTGTAGACTTTGTAGAATTTCTCAAGCAAATGTAATGTTTCATTTCAAACTAGGACCATTCTGACTCTTTGGATAGTAGGTACATAATTAAACCTGATTAAAAGTCAAAATATATTTTTTTAGTTGTGATTTAGATTATATAAATGAAATTAACGTATCCAGCTCTAGTCCAAAATATTTTAAGACAACTTCGCTAAACTTTAAAGAATATCAAAAGAGAAGAAAGCCTTACTGAGTAAGGAAGAAAACTATGAAAATGAGGCAAGGAAGAAAGAAGCAAAGAATAATGATAACAAATGCAAATCGTTCATTGTGCAATGTTTAGATGATGGCCAAATCGATTTAATTCCAGATAAAAATACAGCTTTTATCATGTGGAGGAGCTTAGAAGTAAGGTATTAAAAGGGCATTCCGAAGCAGATAATTCTAAGAAAAAAATTAATGACCATGAAACTGCAGAAGCCAAATGAATTAGAGCATTTCTTGTCCGAATTCGAAGAAATTGTTAGACAACTCAAAGTAACAGGAGCTGAAATTAAGGATGAAGATTTAGTATATACGTTACTTCTTGCTATGCCTCCAGCTTTTGAAACTGTAATTGCAATATTAGAAAACATGAATAGTGAGGACTTAACATTTGAAATCGCGAAAACAAGATTAAGAAGTGAGATTGAAAGAAGAAAAGCAATAAATAATGACAGCAATGAAGTTAGAGACAATATTAAGCCAGCAGCCTTTACAGTAGCCAATAGAGAAGGAAATTGTTTTATATGTGGAGGAAAAGGACAGTACAAAAGAGAATGTAGGAGCAGAAATGTGTATAGAGGTGGTTTTCGAGGTCATAGTAGAGGAACATTTGGAAACAATAGAGGTTTTATTGGAAATAGAGGATTCGGAGGTCAAAATTTTTTTTCAGAGATAGCTACAAATATAGAGGAAATGGGCATCAAAATGAAAGAAACAGGGATGAAAATGCACAAGGGAACTTTGTACAAAATAAAGAGGACGTTGAAAATAAGGGTATTTGTTTTATGACCAGACTAAAAGATAACTTAGATAATAAGAACCAAGATATTAATAATGTAATACTTTGTTTTATATAGACTCAGGATGTACGGATCATCTAGTGAATAATAAAAAATATTTTTCTGATTTTATGTATTTGGGTAATCCTATAAAAAATTTTGTTGCAAAAAATAATGATTTTATAGAAGCCATAGGCGTAGGAAATATAAAAGTAAATAGTTGTGTAGGTGGAAAAGCACAAGAATGTACAATTAAAAATGTGTTTTATGTTCCAAATTTGCGTCAAAATTTAATGTCTTAATGTCTATAAAACGACTAGAAATGTCAAATATAAAGGTTATTTTTAATAATGGTTAAGTATTATTGTACAAAGAAAATGATATAGTAGAAATGGGGAAAAAATAGGTTATATGAAATAGTATTTGAGTTAAATATTAAAGAATGTCTTAACGTAGAATCTGAAAATCACAATGTTAAATTATGGCATAAAAGACTAGGACATATGTGTAATTTTTATTTAAATAAATTTGTAAATAAAAATATGGTAAGAGGTATAGAAAAAGGTGAGTAAAATTGATTTTTGTGAGTCCTGCATACATGGTAAAATGATGAGGCTAAATTTTGGAACAAGAACAAAAGCAAAAAGGGTATTAGGTATAGTTCATACTGACATTAAAGGACCAATAAGTCCATTAAGTCATGATGATGAAAGTTACTTTCTTACCTTCATTGACGACTTTTCAAATTTCATTTATGTTTATGTAATCAAAAATAACAGTGATTTTTTGAATGCTTTAATGAATACGTTAATACAGTTTAAACTAAGTTTAATTTAAAAATAGCAGTTTTGAGGTGCAATAATGACAGAGAATATATATATATATATATATATCAAATCAAATAAAGGAATTTTGTAGAAATAATGGTACAGTGATAGATTATACTACCCCGTATACACCGGAACAAAATGGCAAATCAGAGAGATACAATCGAACATTATTAGACAAAGCAAGAGCTATGATCCAAGAAGGAAACTTACCAAAAGAATTTTGGAATGAGGCAATAAGGGTGGCAGCTTATATTATAAATAGAAGTCCACATAGTAGTTTAGAAGATAAGACAGCAGCTGAGGTATGGAATGGGGAGAAACCTAATATTAACAATTAAAAATTGAAGATATTTGGATGTAATGCCTATGCACACATATCACAACAATTTAGAGGAAAATGTGAGCAAAAATCTAGAAAATGTGTAATGATTGGGTATACAAATACAAGATATAGACTATGGAATATTAAAAAGAAGAAGATTATATTTTCCGGAGATGCAGTATTTGATGAGAACAAATTTCATTTTAAAGAGAACAGAATAAATATAGATTTAGGTGAGGAAAACATTGAAAAAGAAAAGGAAGAAGATAAAGAAGAACAAATTGATAAGATAAAGAATAATGAAGAAGAATAGATACAAGAAGAACAAGAAAACGGTAAAGAACATAAACGTAAAACTAAAGTTCCAGAAAGATATATAGAAAATGATCCAGAGTGTATAAATGAACTAAATGACAGAAATGATAAAAGTATGTGGTTAGAAGCAATGCATAAGGAAATCAAATCAATAGAAAAGAATGAAACATGGGAAGAGGTTAAAATGCCAGAAGGTGAAGAAATTTTGAATACCAGATGGGTATTTGCTATAAAGCCTTATAAAGATAAAATGAAGACAAATACAAAGCTCGACTTGTAGTAAGAGGTTTTGCTCAAAAGGAGTCCATTATGATGATATTTACTCTCCGGTAGCGAGAATGTCTACAATTGGAACAATGTTATCCGTTGGGAATCAAAATATGTAAAGATGGATATATCTTAAAATTGAAGAAATCATTATATGGGCTGAAACAGGCAAGTAAGTGTTGGAATCAGAAAATAAATGAATTCTTGATAAGTTTGAAATTCAAAAGACCTGAAACGGACTATTGTTTATATGTGAAAGGAGATGACAAAAAGACTATGTATCTATTACTATATGTAGATGACATAATAATTTTAGGACCAGATTTGATACATATAAAAGAATGTAAAAGACAATTAATAAGCAGTTTTGAAATTAAATAAAAAGGAATATTGCAGATAAATCAAGAGAAATATATAAAAGGAATACTTAAAAGGTTTAATTTTGAAAATTGTAACCCTTGCACCACCCCTATGGATCCAAAAAATAAATTAAGAGTTGTAGAAGATAATAAATAAGAAAATAGACCAATAAAACAACTAATAGGATGCCTGATTTCAAGAATCAGTCTACACATTTGTGTCAGAAAAATATAAATAAAACTATTTTTCCTGTAACACCTTTCAAAAGCAACATATTGTTTAAAAAATTTGAACTACAATATATCGCGTTTTGGGAAAAATATGATTTCAAATTTAAGAAATGTGTATACAAAAGTATAATTTCATTTTTAAAAAAATCTATAACTGCTTGTTGTCTTTGAAAGTTTCATTGTATCTAATAAAATCGGAATATCTTTCGTAATGCACACCCATTCAATTGCACAAGAAAATCACTTGATATTAGATGCATATATTTTTTGTCTACATATTTTATCCCATTATCAAGCTAGGGTTACGCTTTATTTCAAGACAAACGTATGCTATTGTTGTCTAAAATTAGCACACAATAAAAAAATTGAAAAGATTATTACACTATTTTTTATATAAATCTATTGCTAAATAGGTATTTTAATACAATGAGTCGTATACTACATAGGTATACAATTATTAAAAAAATATGACTTGTGTACTTTAATTATCTTATATATTATTCATTCATAAGTACGAATATAATTTTACTCCTTCAGTAAAACAATTACATATATTTACGGATATGCGTTTTTTCATGTTCAATGTTTCATACTCTTTCACTATTTCTTTTTTTTTCTTATTTTCTAAAAATCAAAGCTAATTATTTTAACATTTTATATTTAGGGCTCTCCTGCCTCATCTTTAAAATTATTAGCTGAACTTTTCATTGTTTTATACCTAGTCATCCTATAATTAATTGTATTTTTGTCATTCCAAGAACTACATTGGTACCTAAAATTGTGGGAAATTGTTTTTGTCAAGATTTTTAGATGCAGCCATGATAAATATTTCGTTATAATATTTACGAGGGGTCCAAGAATTTTGGCGATGTGTGTATAATTCGAAAATTTAATAGCCTCGCATAAAATTAAGTATTCGTTAATGTGGATAGATATGTCGGTCAATCAGTTTCATTTTGTTATTTTACAAATATCCTTTCCATATCTTCTTAATAAAATAAGGTACCGCTCTGATATTCATAGCCTCAATTTACGTTTTTGTGATCGTATCTCATCTTCATTACATTATACTGCTTTTTCAGGCGCTTATAATGTTTATACTATATACAATGTTAATCCCGATTATCCTAAAGAAATGTTTTAATTAATATAATATACTAAATTTCTTCTTGGCATAGTAATGCTACTACCTACATATTATAATTTTTATATTTTGTTTGAATTTCTTGTATATGTTCCTCTGGTGCTACTTTTAAATCAGGACTAGTGCTTTGATCAATCTCCACTGTTCACCAGTCCAATTTGCAGTCTTCTTGGGTACGTTATTCCACAAGTTTGTTTAACAAAATAAAGTTGCAAATATTATCTTCAAACGTATCAGCTTTTTCTTCTTTTTCCCTATCCCAGATTCAGATTCTTCACGTATTTATTTTTATGAATAAACATAATTATTATTATATTATTATTATTATTATTATTATATTATTATTATTATTATTATTTCCCATTTTATACCTAGGGTCTATTAATTAAAGTTTCTTATAAATTTCTCATTGTTTTAGATAAGGACTGCTTTCGTCCTAGCCATTTTTTGGTCAATTGCCAAAAGTGAGCCACCAAGTACAGATTACGGAACTCCTCTAGGATCACCTATTACAAATTATCAAGGATCTGGTTCACAGTACAGCGGTCAAAATAGCTACAATAATCAAAATGGCTACACTAATCAACCCAGCTACAGTGGCCAAAATGGTTACAACAATAACAATTACAACGGAGGAAGTAATGGTGACCACCAACATGATCACGGTGACGGAGAGGTAAGTGTTTTTTGTTTATATGTATTGGACCTAATTACATTTCAGCAAACCAGTAATGTATCCATGATATATTTAAGTAAATTTAAGACGATTTTACCAAATGGCATCTTTTCCATTCTGTTCTGTGTGAAATTTTACTTTTACTGTCTATAATGAGTTTTAATCTTTTTATTAAATCCTTCTGAAAAATGTAGGCAGCACCGGTTACATGGATATAGGTTTTCCAGGTTTGCCTTATGTTTATAATGTAAGCGACTCTTTAGATGCTAGGGGTAAATGTTTTAGTTGACATGCAGTGTTCAACCACAGCTTTTCTTGGCAATTGTTTTGGTATTTCACTTGTGAATAAATCATTGATTTAACTACTTCTTTAGGTATTACTCCAAGATTTGTACCAATTTTCTTTTAGTAAATCGATGTTCCTTGTCCTTTATTTAATTTGATTGGAAATGTGGCGGTCTGCCATCTCTAGAGCTCACTGTCTGTGGAAGACTCTATAAAATGCACTGGTTGGAAAGGAAGTTTAAATACTAGGTGCAAATGAACAATTTTATTAAAAATATCAATGTTAATAATTCCTGTTTTCTTGACAAGTTAACTTAACATTATAAATTAAATAAATAATTAAATCAACATTCTCCCCTCCCAAAATAAAGCTTGCTTTAAGTGGCTTAATTTTCATTGAAATGGAGGGCACACAATTTTAAAATAGGTCGTCTAAAGGTACCACGAATTGTTCTGATGTCAGCGACACGTATTCGTCCATCCCTGTCTGGATATACAGCTGTCACTCTACCTTTTGGCCAGAAATTCCTTGGAATATGGTCATCAACAATGATGACGATATCACCGACCTTAACAGCTTTCTGTTCGTCGTTCCATTTGGATCTAATATCTAGAATAGGCAAATATTCTTTAATCCAGCGACACCAAAACTTTTGGACAATCTTTCACTGCTTTTTCAAATGGTCAGCACTACTGGGTAGACTTTCAAGGACAATATTTTCTAATGAGTTATAATAAGGCCCCAGCAAAAACTGATTAGGCGTAAGTGCTTCTTAGTCTTGTGCATCTAACGACATTTCGGTCAAAGGCATAGAGTTGACGATGTTTTCTACTCCAAGAAAAAACGTGTAAAGAATTTCGTCGAATGGAACTTTTTCTTTTAAAACAATTTTCAAAGCTCTTTTGATGGTTTGTATTTGACGTTCCCATACATCGCGGTAGCTGGATTAAAGTGACACTTGGTGTTTTTTTATGAAGGCTGTAGATAGTTTTTTGCTGATTGAGCTCCTTCAAAGCTATCTGAAGTTCTTTTTTCGCGCCTTTAAATTTGTGCCGTTATCGCTAAATATTTCAGCAGGGTATCCTCTCCTAGCTGACATTCGTTGTATCGACATTATAGCTGAGTCGGTGGTTAGGGAGTTCGCTATCTCAAGGTGAATAGCACGCGTGGAGAAACAAGTAAATAATACAAGGTATCTTTTCTCTCTGCGTCTACCAACTTTGACAATATAAGGTCCAAAATAGTCTAAGCCACAAAAGGAAAATGGTTTTACAAATGGTGTTCTGCGGGCAGTCGGTAAGTTTCCCATGATTGGAATTTTTTGAGTATTTTTTGTAATTTGACAAACAATACATTGTTGGAAAACCTTTTTAACTAAATTGCCTAATTTGGAAATCCAAAATTTTTAACTGTTGCAACTCCTTGATGATTAAATTTTTTATGATAAAATAATATCAATAGTTCAGTTACTTTGTGTTTGTGTGGTAGGATTATGGGGTTCTTCAAAACCAAGAAAGTCGCTGTCAATCCTACTTCTTACTCTAAGAATTCCGGAATCATCCAAAGAAAGTAATAATTTATAGATTTTACTAGATTTCGAAATCGATTCATTATTTTCTAAGATTGAAAACTTCTTCAGAAAATTCTAAAAACTGTATTTTTTTACACCATTCTTCTTCGGCCGTAATTAACTCTTTAACAGCGAATTGTTTTATCTGGGATGGGTATTTTATAATGCCAATAATTTAAAAATCTGATAACCGACGCCGTGGTTCTAATTAGTTTAATCCAAGAAGAAGATCTTTGGCAATCAGGTAATGGTGTAATTGTTCTAAGTACATTAATTACTGCTCCAACAAATTCAGTTTTTTTATTTTCATTTCTTTGTTTACAATTTTCTTAAACAATACATCAAGATGATTACTGCTTATATCTTCTGGCCACAGCGAAGAATATTGATAAAGAAAATTGGGACCCCTTAACCACGTTGAGTAACTATTTTTTGAATTCTTATCTCTGGTGGCATGATCAGAGGGATTTAACTTGGCCGGTACCAATCTCCAATTCAAATTATCCTAAGTTTTAGCTATTTTTTGAACTTTATTTCCTACATATTGTTTTAGTCTTAGGTTATCCGAACGTATCCAATATAAAACAATTTAAGAATCAGTCAAGTAAACTGTATTATGTATCTGTATTTCCAAGGAGTTCTTTATCTGGTTTGTAAGTTTACTAGCCAATAGTGCACTTTCTAATTCCAGACGAGGAACAGTTATCCATTTTAAGGGGCATACCTTACATTTAGATGATACAAACGAAACTGCAATGCCATTTGTACTTTCTACTCGTAAATAAATGACAGCTGCATATGCCTGTGTACTCGCATCTGAAAAGGAATGTAATTGGATTGCATAGGGAATATTTAAAGAGTAGTACCTAGGTATTTTAATTTCAAAATTTTCTTAAGTTCTTTTATCTAGTTTTCCCATTTTTTGAACGAATTTTCTCATCTCATTCGATGTATTCTCGCCAAATATCTTGTAAAAGAATTCTACCTCTTATAATAATATTATTTAAAAAACCTAATGGATCAAAAACACTCATTATTATTCTGAGTATTTCTCGTTTCGTTGGAATCTTTTCAAAATTTAAAAGTTTATCTGACGGGTTTTTAAATTTTAATTGAAATATAAAATGATCTTTTTCTGGATCCCACTGGACTACCAGAACTCTTTCAATTGGTAAAGTAGAATCTAAATGAAATTCTTTAATATTTTTCTGCTTAAGTTCGGCAGGTAAATTGGCAAGTACTTTCTTAGAGTTTGACAACCAGTTGCAAATGTGGAACCCCCCTTGGGCGTAGACGTGAATAACATGATAAATTAATTGTGTTGCTTCGGTTTCCGAATCACAACAATCAAGGTAATCGTCGACATAATGTTTATTAAGAAAAGAATTGCCAGCTTTTGGAAATCTATCATTAAATTCAGATGTGTTTTCATTTTTTACGTATTGTGCCAGTGACGGTGAACAAGTGGCTTCATAAGTCATTGCTTGCATTTCATAAACAAAAGGTTCTCTTGTTTGGTCATACCCTCGCCAGAAAATACGTTGTGCTACTTGGTCTTCTTTAATAATTCTTATCTGGTGGAACATTTGGGCGATGTCGCCGCAGAAGGCTATTCTGCGTTGCCTAAAGGTTCACAAAACTCTTAACAATGGAGTTAGCAAATCTGCTTCTGGCAGAAACATGTAATTTAAACTAAGTCCATGTAATTTAGCTACGTCATCAAAAACCATTCTAAGTGTCCCGGGTTTGTTGACATTAAAAACGGCAAAGTGCGGTAGATACCATGAATTCGAAGAATTTATTAGTATCTCTTCTTCTGACAATTTTCTTGAGTATCCTTTTAAAACATAATAAACAATTTTCTGGCAATATGCATTAGCAAAGTCAGTATCTTAATCCATTTTTCTTTCCTGGCAATATAAACAGTTTAAAGCTTTAGTTTTATTTTCGGGCATAACTACATTATTGTTTTTCCACAACAGACCAGTCTCAAAATTTCTTTATGCGATTTTATGGCTGTGGGAGAATATTTAATACGAAGACAAGTTATGGATAGATCATTACCTAACTTTGATGGTGACCCAACTGACTGGTTAGTATTTATAACTGAATTCAATGAAACAACTAGAATTTGTAAATATTCTGACAGTGACAATCTAGTCAGGCTTAGACAATGCCTCAAAGGTGAGGCAAATGAATGAGTCAAAATGTCATATCACATTTAAGTGTATCCGATATTATAGAGACCTTAGTGAATAATTACGGACGTCCACAATATATTATTAAATCAGCAAAAATTCTTTTCGAGATGTTTTTCAAAAATATCAGCTTTTTTTTATTTGATCATGGCCAGTTTTCATTTTCTTCTTTAATTGACATGTCGATAATTGAATATTTAAGCTTCTTTCTTACAGTATACTTGTTATTATTGTTATAAATTGTTGCATGGTCTATTGAATACTACTATTCTTTCGCATAATCTGGTAATCTTCGATTTTTCTTACCTTTTTGTTTTTTTTAACGGTTCATTTTTTATCTAGCATATACATTACATGCTTTTTCTCGTAAGCCTTGTTGTGTTGTTCCATTACGCTTACTGTATGTCGGTAAAAAATTTGTCTAAAAAAGTAAGTGACGCCTATGTGAAATATTTTGACTGATAGACATATTCACGCCCAAGACGACCCTGTTCTCATTTCTCGCTCATCGTGGTCCATTTTTAAAAATCGCGCCGCCTAATAATGTAGACATAAATCACTTTGATGTTAAGGTGCAACCTTATTTTAAGAAAACAAATCATTTCGTCATCAGTTAGACGTAAATTGCTGTGTTTATTGGTTATGTCAAAGAAGTTTGGGTAATAATCAGCTCCGAGGAAAATTGGTAATCTGTAATTTAATTCAATCCATCAATTGAATCGCCAACACATTTTCAAAAAATATATCGAATTAGCTTCAGGATGTAATTTAAAGATGAGATTTATATGGAAAATTAATTTGTACCGTGCTTTCACTATAAACGTAGTACAATCTTCAGTATTAAACGTCAAAGAACAATTTTAACGAAGATAATAGTGAAGTTAGAATAATATGAAAAATAAATATCAAGAGTTGATTTCAATCTTTTATTGAATTGTTCCATGGC